CAGGGAGGCCAGGGCAGGCCAGGTGCTTCAGCAGACAGGGGGCCGTTCCCTGTAGTGGAGCCACCTGGGGGTCTGACCCCACCCGGCACGTGGCTGCAGGTGCTGGGCTCCAGGGCCTGACGTGTCCCAGCCCTGAGAGAACAGGACTATGTGGAACGGGAAGCCCTGGGCAGTTAGCCTTTTTCCTTCCACTTACAGGATCCCTTTGGCACCCCTGAGCAAGTGGAGCAGAGGGGCCAGTCCAGGGGTCTTGCAGCGAGAGCCCTGGATGGTGGCCAAGATGCGTGGGGAGGAGAGGAAGCGGGAAGTCAAGGCTAATCCCACGTGTTTAGCTTGGGCAGCTGGATAGAGGGGTGCCTTGGAAGGAGCCAAGGAAACTGGGGGGCAGGAGCCTGGGGTGGCGCTCGGGTGGCAGGCAGGTGCTGGATGGGTGTGTCGCAGCCGAGGGCAGGTTGAAGCCGGCTTACTGGGCGAGGCCCGGAGGCTAGCAGGAATGGGGCTGCGGAGGGGCGCTGCCCTGCTCCAGAACCTGCAGGGCAGAGACCTCGGCTGCCCCTGGCGATCATGCCTCTGCCTCCCAGGCCTCCCTTCCGCTCCGGGAGCTCCGCCTGCGTGCGTGCGGGGCCTTTTCCTCCACCAAGCATCCTCTGCGGTTGAACTTGGTTCCGAGTGACTGCCTGGGGTTAGCACGGACCCCACAGGTTAGGTTCAGGGCTCCGTCCCGCAAGACCGACCCCGCCCGGACGCCTCTACATCAGAAGACCCCTCGACGACCCCTCTTCGGGTTCAGCTTGCTAGAGCAGCTCACAGAGCTCGGGAACGTTCTTTGTAGCTCCCCAGCATATTCTAAAGGGTATGACTCAGGGACAGCCAGATGGAACGGGTGCAACGGGTGAAGTGTCCGGGAGGCAGACCTTCCGTGCCATCTCAGGGCACCTCTGTGTGCTCCCCGACCCCTTCGCCGAGGGTTTCTGTGGAGGTCGTCACACAGGCGTGACTGATTGAGCCGTGGGCCATGGGTGATGGGTCGGCCTCCAGCCCCTGTCCTCCCGCTGGAAGGGAAGTTGGGGGGTGGGATGGAAAGTCCCAGCCCCGCAGCCCCCAGGTTGGCTCCCCCGGCAGCCGGCTCCAGAGTCCCCTCATAAGCCCAGGGGTGGAGAAACAGAAGATACCCTTTCACCTGGGATCGTTTCAGGACCTGGGCACAAAAACTAAGCTAACAGCAGCTGCCCCCGTAGCTCCTGTTGCTCGGCGTGGTGAGGGTCTTCGGAGGTGTGTGCCACGAACTGCGAATGAAGCCAACACGTATTCCTTGCTACGTGGCGTATCGCTGGGCCCCGCTGTCTCCACAGCCCTGTGCGGGCCCTCCGGACTCAGCTGCTCCTCTCTCTTGCAGAATCGCCCCAAGACTGGCTGGGCTAGGGGCTACCAGGGCCTGCCACACGATGCTGAGAACAGTGTCCCCTCCACAGAGCAGGCCTGTGGGCCAGACCCGGCCTGCGCCGTCCGTGTCTGAGCTGAGGGGTTGGCGGAGAGCCTGCGTGCGTCCCACGGAGCCCTCGACACCCGCTGCCCTCTGTGGGAGGGGTTGGCCAGCGCCGTCCTACACGTCTCACTGCTCTTGTAGGAGGACCTTCGTAAGGGAGTCATTCAGGTCTGGTGTCGGTGCCGAGAAGATACTGGCTCCGCCTGGGAAATCGCCTTGCTTTTTCCTTACCAGACTCGTGGGCCCCGTGCTCGAGCCTGTTCTTGGTACTTCGTCCTCCGTCGTCTGAGACACGCTGGTTGCGTGGCCTCTGTTGCCCGATTTTGACGGTTATCACGTTGTTTTCCCCTCTCCCTTTCTGTGTCCTAAGCACTGTTCTGTGAGTTCAGCTGACCTGTGCTCAAAACCTGGTCGAGTGTCTCTACTGTTGGCTGGGGTGGCTGAGCACGTGGCACCCATTTCCTGTGAAAGGCACGTTATTTCTGGGGTCCTGACAGTATCTGGGGATTTTCCAATACCGGCCAGGACCATCTTGACAGTTTCTCTTTCACTTTTTCCTTCCTTCCTTCCTTCCTTCCTTCCTTCCTTCCTTCCTTCCTTCCCTCCTTCCCTCCTTCCCTCCTTCCTTCCTTCTTCCCACTTGTAGCCAGAATTACTGTCAAACTCCACTCATTGGGCCAGAGACCCGTGTGGTGGTAGCAGAAGACGTGCCCCTCAGGCAGCGTGCTACCAATGCTTGTGAATTTATTGGGTTTTTTTTCATTCTATTACCAAAATGTTATAGTAACAGATTGGGTATATGGATAATTTTTTGTTGGTGGTTTTTGTTCTTAGTAACTTCAGGAGTGAAGTGAACTTCCTGCCCCCAAAAGTAGTATTGCTGATTTAGTGTTGCTGACCAGAGAGCGGTAGCTCGCGTAAGAATTCTAGAGTTACCGTAAAGAAAACAAAAAGCAGTAAGTAGCCCCTTCAGTTCTCCTGTTTCTGAGTTTGTCGGTGTTTCCTATATGCTGACCAGGGTCGACCGGTGTTGATGCTGTGGGGACCACTTCAGGCGTGGCCGCACTGTAACCTCTGTGACCCCCTTTCCGAGTGTCACCTCAGGCCTCTGAAGTCCCGCCCACTGTCCCTCTCCCCCAGTCCGACTGAGCCACCCAGGCACCCCCATTTTAGATTCTTTGGGATGACAGTGGTACTCAAATGTCACTTCTGGATGCCTGCCTGGAATGCTCCCGGCCCTTCTGGAAAGGTGTTGTCAGAGAAGGGCTGCTGTCTGTCCCCAGGGTGACAGTGGCCCTTGGGCCCAGCCTGCCTACCCTCTGGGCTCGCTGTGAGGCCTCCGGCCTGTTCCTGTAGGTCAAGGCCCGGAGCACCACGTGGTTTTACACGTGGGGATCCACCCCTTCTGTGCCAGGTGATGCGCCCTCAGCGGTCTGTGTGGCCTCGGGCTCACCTGGTGAGGGGCAGCCCTTGCCCATACCTCCCACGCAGCCCCACGGCCCGTCCTTGGCAGAGACGGAGGAGCAAGAGGTCTTAGACACTTAGAGCAGTTTGACGAAGGAGCTTTATGCTGTGGACTCTGAATGTTAAAGACTCGGATTTGTGTGTTATATGCCTTTGTTTTTTCATCTTATTTTCCTCCGGCGCTTTATTTTTATTGTGTTTCAGAGAAGCGCCACTCCGCGACGGATTGGAGATAAGAGAGCAGAGGAAGCTGCTTGAGTGCGGCGGGGGGAGCGTCCCCCGAGCGGAGCCGTGTGCGCGACGGGCGGGCCGCTGGCTCTCGGAAGCTTCTGGGCTCCAGTCCTCTCTCAGCTCCTCGCTGCCTCGTTTTCTCATCTGCAAAGTGGGAGAGCGCTTCGCGAGCCTGTTCAAAGGACCTGGCTCTCGTCGGT